ACTAAAACGACACAAGATAATAACATTAGCAGCGTTTTTATTATAACACCACTAAAGACCTATATTGTAGTGGCATTTTTTAGCCAAATGCCACAATTTGTCAATGTTTTAGTGGCGTTTTTAATTACAAACGATACAATTTATGAGCTTTTTATCATTCCAGAACCTTTAGTGGCTTTTTTTTATTAAATGCCGCAATTTATTAGTACTTTAGTGGAGTTTTTTTTAAATAAATGTTGCAATTTGTCGGTACTTTAGTGACGTTTTTTAGATAAACGCCGCAATTTGTCAGTATTTTAGTGGTTTTTTTAAATACACGACTCAAGTTTTGATATATGCCGCTCATTTTTTCCTTCACTTTTTCTTAATGGTTTCTGTTGCTCTCATTTTTTAGGTTTTTGCCCTTTCCATGGATCTAAATGAAAACCTAGAATCACTCTCACTCAAAAGTAGCAAAGAAAGGCATAGTGAAATTTTATGGAGATTAAAGATATCTTTGAATGTGTTCTTCATTGTTAGGTATGACTCATAAATATACTGGTAAAGAGGATAGGGGATGGAGCGAACATCAACTGTCTTTACAAAGAAAGTCTCGTAGAGGGGGTTATGATTATGTGGGTTGGGGGTACGGGGGCGTAGCCTCGCGGTACGGTACAAGGTTAATTATGTAATTATGTACCAGGTTTTTATTATAAATAGAGATGTAACCTAAAACTATGTGACATTGAATAAAACTTCTAGCGCCGCCTAGGCACCAAGGAAGTAAGCACATTGTCGAACCTCGTTAAAAATTCTTGTGTTCTTTCGTTATCTTTGCCTGATTCTTCAACATTCATTTATCATGACGAATATGGGATCGGAAATGCCATCTCTCGAGCTCTGAACACTAAAGTGTGAGTCCCCTCTCTTTTTCTCAGTCCCTCTTTAGTTGATTTTCATTGAAAGCTCTGATTCAGAAAGATGCATTTTAAATAGTTTTAGCTCAGAGGTTTTGAACTTGAAATTGGGGGAAGTAAAATTGAATGGCTTTGTTACTCAGTTTAGAGATAAAGATAATTTGAAGGTATTGTTTCCTTCCTTTACCAATTAATATCGAAACCTATTTATTTGAATTACAGTTTTTTTCATTGGTGGATATAGTTTTGTGCATTTGCTTCTAAATGAGGAACCTATAGAGCTACTCCATTTTTTAGTGTTTTGTTCCTGGTAAAATAAGAGGACTGGTTGCTGTGGTATTGTTATTTAGTTATCTAAAAGGTTAACAGCTCATTGGGAAGTGAGCTTAATGGAACCCTCTTTCACTAGTGAATACACGCCATCTGCATATTCAAACATGAGATTTTCGAGTTGAATCAAGTCTAACCTTTGGATTTTCCCTTGTGGCTAATTTAGAATATGTTTTCCCACTGGATTAATGGGTTCTTAGTTGCCTGTCAATGTATATTCCTAAATTATGATCTTATTTTGTTTTTGAAAAGAAGGAAATGGAATGGAATTTTGGAGCTTTTATTGGCTAAGGGATGAAAAATGTTGTTTAAGGAGTTGCAGAACATGAGACATAATCTAAACTTAGGATAAAAAAAGATTTAACGAGTAAATCGAATGGTAGCTTGCATTATTTTCTTTTTAAGCCTTCTTTGCATGCAATTTCCCCAGATTGAGAGATCGACAGGATTTAACTTGGGTGGACCATATTCCTCTCATTGGCCACAGCAGCAACAACAACATATTCAATCAGCCAGTGGTAGCGGAGTATCCATTTCATCTATAAACAACCAAGATCTTCTCCATTTACATGGCTCAGATATTTTTCCCTTCTAAACCTACCACTCACATGTGTGACAGTCTTAGCTGTTGATGGTTTCTTGCAATGTAATTACATAATTATTAGGTGGTAGAAGGTGTGAACAATGTTGAACTATGTTACATTTCATTTAAATTTTATAAAATTTGATTTATTTTTCTACACAATTCATATCGTAATTAAATTTTAAGTTTATTTATTAGATTATTCTACATGATATTAAAAAATTTGGATAATATAAAGTAGAAATTGATATATACGAAAACAATTAACCATAGCGGTGTTTGTGCCACCTGAAGTCAGGTTATTTTGCGGTGTTTTGTGATGGAAACACCACTAATGGCTAAAAATTGCGGTGTTTAATCAAATAAATGCCACTAAAGATAAGATAATTAGCGGCGTTTATAAGAAAAAATCGCTATATAGCTTGACCATTCGCGGCGTTTGTAAAAAATGCCTCTTTAGAGCTTGACCTTTTAGTGGCGTTTGTAAGAAAAAAGTCGCTATAGAGCTTGACATTTTGCGGCGTTTGTAAGAAAAACACAGCTATAGAGCTTCACCTTTTGCGATGTTTTCTCTTCACAAACGCCGCTAACATTTGCAGTGCTGGTTTTAACGATGTTTCTTGTGGCGTTTTTACTTTCGCAGGGAATGCTTTTAGCGGCGCTTATAAACGCTGCTAAAAACCTATTTTGCTGTAGTGTTTCTTCTTCTTCTCAAGGCTTGAAGTGAACCCACAAGCTCATTGATTAAAATATCGGACATATTTTTTATTCTTCAATTGTGACAACCACATAGTGGAATTTTTGTGTTAGCATCCACAAAATCTTTTCCATCACTCTGATTTCATCACGCGGATCACTATTTCTTTTTTATTTCATTTACCACCACTTTTATACGACTAAGATAATTATCGATGCTTTCCATATTTTTCATTTTCAACATTTCAAACTTGGCTCTTGGAGATTATAAATGTACTTTTTTTTTTCACTTTTTTCTACATCTTGAAGAGATTTTCGCAAAATCTCTCATGTATGGTTTGTGATTTTCACAACTAAAATTTTTTCGATGGTAGATTCATATACTCTTTGAAAAATAAAGAATAATGCCTTCTAGTCTTTCTTGCATGATTCCTTGAGTGCCCTTTTCTCTTCATTTGACAGGGTTGCTTCTGTTGTTACATTTTCGAGCTCGACATAACCTTCCTTGACAATGTCCCAACAATTTTACGAACAAGTAACGCCTTCATTTGGATACTCCAATTGTCATAATTTGACTTTGTTAATCTCAAGATTTGTGATTGAATCATGTTAACTATCTTCTCATAGATACCACTTGTTGGAAGCGTGAATAGGCACTCAATGTACTTTATAACTCACAATATTACTGATACAGATAAATTACGAGTACAAACAACACTAGTTACGACTAATTTACAAACTAACAAAGCTTTGCTAAGCTTCACTATTTCTAGAAGGGTTCCTGTAGAACAATCTCGCGAAACCATTAGGAGAGTGGAGAGGTTTAAACTACAAGTTATCAAAGAAGAGTGCAGAGGTTTAAACTGCTGAACATGACGAAATCATTAGCATAGTAGTTACACTTACAGTTTAAACCTCATGCACTCTTCTTTTTAAAGTTGCCTTTCTCCGTTTCAGCCTCCTCCTCAGCTTTCTTCATGTCTAATTTAACATTTTCTTCACAAGCTTTCCAAAACAATCTCACGAAACTTAGGAGTGTTACAATAACTACAATGATCGATACAACTAACTTATTGTCTTGTTTTGACATAAATTAAAGCCAGCTAACTTGCTCTCTTGCTTTTACTTTGACTCCCATTTTTGCTCTCATTTTAAATTGAATAAATATATTAATGGCTTCATCTAACTTATTATATTGTTTTGATCAGGAAGATGGTCGAAAATCTCATAACAACTGCATAGAGGAGACAATGAGATTAAAAACTAATGGAAAACAAGAGTGTGAAGCAGTTTCAATGTGGAGTTAACAGTAAATAGTTGAGGGATGTCATGCGTTCCGTTTGGATTCTTCGTCCAATTGATCGAATCTGTGATTCATTCCAGTTCCCCTCTGTTCAACTCTCCATCACCACTGCTCAGTTTAAAAATAAATCTTGGTGGAATATTAATAAACTTTTAATTTCACTTAAGGTCAGTTTCGTGCGACTTTTGAAAAATGTTATAGAAAAAAAACTTTAAAAAGTAATGTAAAAAAACGTATGTTTAAAATTACGGTTAAAAAATAAATTTAAAAAGATAAAATGCCTTTTATAGACATTATGTTATAAGTATTATTGTATATAAATTATATCAATTTAAACTATATTAAAAATATAAGTATACTAAAAATATATTTTATAATAACTCACTATTAATATTTTAATATATAAATATAAAATAAATTATTAACGAATAAAGTATTTTTTAGGAGGTTATATTAAATTATTAAAATAAAATGTAAATACATAATTGAGTGGAGTACCATTAGTAAGAGTAAAATTATAATTTGCTTCTAAACGCAAAGTTAAAAATAAAAAAACTAAAAATTCGACCTAACTTTTGCGGTTCGTTTGAAACCACCATTTACACCAAAAAAAAAAAATTATATGTAAAAAAAAGGTCGATATTCCCATTTAAAAAGATAATATAAATTAATATTATTGGTTGAGACCACAAGTTAAATCCGTGAGTCTCTTCTCTCTGTCATTCAATTTTTTCATTGGATACACATATCACCTTCGCCTTATTAGTTTAAATAAAATTATTTAAAAAATAATGGGTTCCTAATTAAGGGAGAGAAAGTAATTTGTTAAAATGAAATAAATTAAATTAAATTAAATTGTCATTAGCAACTCTACATGAACGACTCTTATAAATTTAGTTGAATTAATTATATAAAATCAATATATTTCCCCACAATTATAAAGAAAATCCAAATTGGTCCACCCATTCCACACGGTATTCCACGCATATTACTATAAATAAGAAATCTGACGAATAGTATTGACCAATAATTGTGGCTTTTACTTATCCAAAAAAAAAAAAATAATTGTGGCTTTCATCTCTACTTTCACATCAACTACCCTCTTAGGAATTTGGAATAAACCTTCCTTTTTAAAGGGGGAGAGAGAGAGAGAGAGAGAGAGAGAGAGAGAGAGAGAGAGAGAGAGAGAGAGAGAGAGAGAGAGAAACTTTAGTGTGTGCATCTGAATCTGATGAGTTGAAAAGCTGAAGTTGCTGAGATTAGTTCCATCCTACATGGGAAAGCTGGTGCTCCTTCTTGTGAATATTTCATGTTTGATTGCATTGGTTAGGTTTACAAGCTGTGGATTAGATGCTGCAACTCCTCCTCTTCATCCTGAAGAAGGTAAGTTTGTTCCCAAAGTTTGAAGCTGAGTTAAAATCTGTTTCTGTATCTGTTGCAGCATTTAGTTCCCAAAGTTTGATTGCAGTGAAGGCACTGAAAACAATAGGGAAGAAGGTGGGGAAGAAGGAATGGGATTTTGGGGTGGATCCATGCACTGGCAAAGGGAATTGGGTGATGCAGGAAGATGATGACACTGGTCTTGCAAGCAATGTAACCTGCGATTGTTCTTCCACCTCCTGCCATGTTGTAAGCATGTACATCTTCCCACTCTCTCTTTTTACTCTTTATTCTCCATTCTTCAATCTTCATCAAGTCCCTGCTGCTCTTATTATTATAATAATAACTTTAATTGTTTAACCTTGGAATGGGACAAGATTCAATCTTGCTGGAAGCACAGAGTCTGAAAGCTCATATGGTGATTTTGTCAAAACTTTTCCACTTCTGTCGGTTTCTAACTCCTATTCCTTTCTTTATACATCACCAGATTCCTTTATTTAAATGACTAACCTACAGTTGTCATCAGTCAACTGTTACTACATCTCTATTTTAGTCACTAAACTTTTAGAAGTTTTAATTTAATCGTTCAACTTTTAAATCATCTCATTTTTCCGTCACCCAGGTATTAAAAAGAAACATAGGTAACATGGCCTACATTTTACCGACGTGGATTATTTTTTGCTTATATGAAAATCACATCATTTTTTCTCATTTTTATTTTTCTCCATTCCATAGTCTCCACAGCAAATTTTTGCATAGATATTATTTTTGCATTTCTTACATTTTTTCTGTATTTTTAAGGTTCCTAATATGTTAGTAATCTCCCCCTGGAGTTTGTTGGGGGTCTGTCTTACTCTCTAAGCCAAATTTTACGTATAGTCTGGGAAACCGGAACATGGGACACTCCATTTTCACTGCTACAATTGAAATAAAATAAACTTTGATTAGCAATTAATGATACCATGTGTTGTTATTATGACCTAGTTTTACATAAATTTTATGCTTTTAATGCAAAATATTTTCAGAAAATAATAACAATAATTTTTAATTGATATTTGTCTTGCACTGCTCTTTCAGTATGCAGTAGAGTCCAAGTTCAGACAGCAGCCCTTGGGTGGGCTCAAATATTAAGTTTATTTTATACCACCAAACATTGTATATTTAGTCATTATTTTAAAAGAAAGCTCATATTGGGTTGGGAAGAAAACACCCATGTGAATATATAGAAAATATAGAACCTGGTGGTTTATTATATATATATATATATATATATATTATCTGTAAACTGTGTTTAACGTCCATATGGGACAATTAAATAAAAAAGCAGGAAAATTAGCAGTGATCTATTATATTATTTGGATGGATATGAGTGTCGGATATGAATATTTCCAAGAAATGAAAATCCAGGTATTCTAATTTGGTGCTGAAAGTTTCTGCAGATACTTAACTGCTACCAACATTTCAGCTACTTTACCACCAGAGTTTTCCAAGTTCCGAAACCTGAAACTGTTGTAAGCAAATGCAGTTTGCGTAGCTAGCTTGAACTATTACACTATGATGGTTTCATTTTTGTTATTAATTCTACTTTGCTTCTTCTTGTTTAGTGACCTGAATCGTAACTACTTCACCGGTTCTGTTCCTCAAGAATGGGCTACAATGAAGCTGGAAACGCTGTAAACATCTTACGACTTCTCCCTCCGTAATGCTAACCATGATGAACATATATATGCATGCTTATGTTAGTTCAATTTTGCAGCTCGTTGATGGGGAACCGGTTATCCGGTCCATTCCCGAAAGTTCTTACCAGCATCACCACCCTCACCAATCTGTATGAACCCTTGTATTATGTTTCAAAGATTGGAAACTTGAAAGTATCTTAATGGTTTCCCCTTTCCAGGTCTATAGAAGGAAACAACTTTTCAGGGTCTATTCCACCTGAGATTGGAAAGTTGATCAACTTGCAGAGCCTGTAATTCCTTCATTTCCTCACAGTTGTTAGGCCATTCCAATGCTTTTTTTTAATGCTGGGAATAAACATTACTCTCATCTCATGTCTTCAGCCATCTGTCATCAAATGCCTTCACTGGAGAACTGCCGGTAGAGCTAGCCAAGTTGGTCAACTTGACTGACATGTAAGCACCGACGTTTAAGGCCGTGTTTAACATTGTTTTTGCTGTTGAAAACCATCGTAAACATCAATAATGTTGTAGGAGGATAAGTGACAACAACTTTTCTGGAAGGATACCTGGATTCATTGGTAAATGGAAGCGCATTAATAAACTGTAAGTTTTCGAACTTTATCCCTGTATTTAGACAGCCTTCTTAAGATTTCTTTTGCTATATAATTCAATATTTTTCCATATTCAGGCAGATCCAGGGTAGCTCTCTTGAGGGGCCTATACCTTCCAGCATTTTGGCTTTGACTAGCTTATCTGATCTGTATGCAACCCTGATAGTTCAAGTTGATTTCGAAACTTTTTTCAATGTCTTCATTAATGACTTTTGATTGTGATTGATCATTAGGAGGATTAGTGACTTAAAAGGCAGAGACTCTCATTTCCCACCATTGCATAATCTCCACTCACTCAAGACATTGTATGTGGGATCTATTTGATACTATGTACTTTTCTATAAATAACTTCATCGAATCGAGTCAAATCAAATTGTCTAATGCAGGATCCTAAGGAATTGCTTACTAAATGGAGAAATCCCGGAATATATTGGTGATATGAAGAAATTGAAAACTCTGTAAGTAGCATCAAGCCATGGCCTGCACCGAAAACAAATCGATGCAAACTTCATTTTTGCAATTGAAAATTTACATAAGCTGCTAATGCTATAATTGCAGGGATCTTAGCTATAATAACTTGAGTGGAGCGATTCCAGAATCATTCCACAAACTGACCAAAGCAGATTTCATGTAGGAGGATGAAATTTAGTTCTGGAAGTCAAATAAATTTAATACCACTGCCCACATTATGAGATTTATGATTAATATTCATTGCTGCTTCTTGTAGGTATTTGACTGGAAATCATCTCACCGGGTCTGTGCCTGGGTGGATCCTGGAAAGAAATAAAAATGCGTAAGTATGTTCGAGTTACACATTGTGAAATTACAGTGGATAATGGACGGTGTTTTCCTCGACTTACAGGGATGTATCATACAACACTTTCACCTGGGAAGCCTCGAGTCCGATCGAGTGTCCTCGAGGCAGCGTGTGAGTTATCTTTTTGTAGACATTTCTTTGGTCCTATATATAAGTTGATGTACTAACTCAGTTGATTTTCGTATCTTAATCTTTCCAGAAACTTGGTTGAGAGCTATTCCAAAGCAGCAAATGAATTGTAAGCAAGTTTTTGTGCCTTGATTTCTGATATTCTATTGATGTAAACGCTTATTGATTCTTTTTTTGGTGCAGAAGTAGGGTTCCTTCATGTCTAAGACAGACCTTCCCATGTTCTGCTTCATCCAGTCAATGTAAGTCAACTTTTGGAGATGAAATATCTCGGTCAACTTTGTTAGAAAATCTTTTATGTTCCAATGAAATTTTGGTTATTATCAGATAAATACTCGCTGCACATTAATTGTGGGGGGAAGGAACTCAACATCAGCGGCGGTGATAAATACGAAGCCGATAGAGAACCAAGAGGTGCTTCTATGTTTTACTTGGGGCAGAACTGGGCGTTAAGCAGCACCGGGAACTTCATGGATAATGATATTGATGCAGATAACTATCTTGTTACCAACACTTCAGCTTTGTCCAATGTGTCTGCGGTCCGTGCAGAACTCTACACGACAGCGCGTATTTCTCCCCTCTCTCTCACATATTATGGACTCTGCCTAATGAAGGGGAACTACACTGTTAGTCTGCACTTTGCGGAAATTATTTTCAAGAACGATCGATCATATTACAACCTTGGGAAACGTATATTTGATGTCTATATTCAGGTAAGCAAACCCCTTTAGCATACATGATGTAATATAAGAAAAACAAACAAATATGAGTTTACATGATGTAAATGTAGGGAGTACTGGTGCTGAAAGATTTTAACATCCAAGAGGAAACTGGTGGTGCCAGTAAGCCCATCGTAAAGAACTTTACAGCGGTCGTGACAAGCAATACGTTAAAAATCCACTTATATTGGGGTGGAAAGGGGACTACAGGCATCCCGTCAAGGGGAATGTATGGCCCTCTTATTTCAGCCATATCAGTGGTTCCAAGTAAGTTGTGGTTCTTGGGTCCAATTTTGTTCGATTTTCGATGAAGTACATCGGTTGTGTATAATCTTCTTCTTGACCAGATTTTCAGCCGCCGAGTGTCGTTGGCAAAAAGAATCATCTCTTAGAGATAGTGGTGTCTGGGACAGCTATCGCAGCAATAGTTTTTTCCCTTATACTCATAGGTATCTTTTGGAGAAGAGGTTGGCTTGGTGGCCAAAATTCTTCTGAAAAGGGTACTCCACATTTTCCTCAACTCCATGATATTATTGCCCTTCGAACGTGCATCATTTTGTGTAGATGTTTGCTTGTGTCACCTAACACTGCTTTCTTCACAGAGCTGAGAGGCTTGGATCTTCAAACAGGAATTTTCAGTCTTAGACAGATTAAAGCTGCAACCAAGAACTTTGACGCCGGAAACAAAATAGGGGAGGGTGGCTTCGGTTCCGTGTATAGGGAAAGTGTTTATATTCAAATCGTATAATAATTTGGACCATTTCTTTAGGGGATTAGTCTCAACTTTCACTTCTGAATGCAGGGCCTATTGTCGGACGGAACAATTATTGCAGTGAAACAGCTGTCATCTAAATCTAAGCAGGGGAATCGCGAATTCGTGACTGAAATAGGCATGATATCCGCACTGCAGCATCCAAATCTTGTGAAGCTGTATGGATGCTGTGTAGAAGGAAACCAGTTATTATTAGTTTACGAGTACATGGAAAATAACTGTTTATCCCGTGCACTTTTTGGTAAGCTTACAACTCAAGTTATCTACTATATATAAACTAGTCGATCGAAATCCACCAGTCAAATTTCAACCGCCTTTCGTTCTTCGTAATAACAGGGAAGGATGCTACACTCAAACTGAAACTGGACTGGCCTGCCAGGCAAAAAATCTGCCTTGATATTGCAAGGGGCTTGGCCTACCTCCACGAAGAGTCGAGAATAAAAATCGTGCACAGGGATATTAAAACAAGTAACGTGTTGCTTGATAAGAATCTAAATGCAAAAATTTCTGATTTCGGTCTGGCGAAGCTAAACGAAGATGACGTAACCCACATCAGCACTCGAATTGCCGGGACAATGTAGGCTTCTAAGTATACATAACTTGTTCAACTTTTAGAGTAATCCTAGTGCAGGCGTAATGCTGCTGAGCATTTGATACACCAGAGGAGTCTGCAAAGAACTAGTTAGTCATATGATCCTAATGCATGCAGCATGTGGTTAACAGTATCACATTCTAAATGTTTCTCCAGAATTGGCAATGATGCTTATGTGAATTCGAATAGGGACATGAAGATTTGCATTATGTTTGTTTGTTGATTCTGCAGCATATTTGCATTATGTTTGTTAATTGTTTGTTAGTTGATTCTGCAGCGGTTATATGGCTCCTGAATATGCAATGCGTGGTTACTTAACCAACAAGGCCGATGTCTATAGCTTCGGTGTTGTCACTTTGGAGATCGTTAGCGGAAAGAGCAACACAAACTACAGGCCGAATGAGGACTTCGTTTACCTTCTTGACTGGGTATTTTAACGACAGTTTTCACCTGCTGAACAATGGCATGTAAATCTGATTTCAATTTTGTTCATGTTTACCATATTGCTTTGATTCTTGACATCTCACAGGCTTATGTTTTGAGAGAGAGGGGAAGTCTATTGGATTTGGTGGATCCGGACTTGGGATCGGAGTACTCATCGGAGGAGGCAATGGTGATGCTGAATGTGGCACTCTTATGCACCAATGCATCCCCCACACTAAGGCCTACCATGTCACAAGTCGTGAGCTTGCTTGAAGGTCGAACTTCTGTTCAAGACCTCCTCTCAGACCTCGGCTTTTCGTCGATTAATTCAAAATTCAAGGCATTGGTTAACCACTTCTGGCAAAATCCAAGCCAAACGATGAGCTTGTCAAGTAATGGCCCAGAAACTGATTCCATAAGTTCAAATATTGAAACAGAAGAGAGGAGTCGTCTATTGAGTTTGAGAGTGAATGGTGTTCAATCTCAGATATAATTAGTAGCTTTTCTTTGGTAGTACATACATGACAAACAAGTACGCATATCACATATACTGCAAATGTAACTGTTCAAATTTCGATAATAGTTCTCTTTTCACTCAATGACTTGTCATTTAAAACAAGATAGTTTAATGTGTATAGAGAGAGTATTTAACTTGCTTTTGGTCACATAATTACATAATAGTATATTATGATCTTATTAATTAAATAAATCTTGATTAAGAGAAAATTACTTAATATTTTGAATTGGAGCGTAAATTCGTGAGAGGAACAAAACTCATTGGAATATGCAATCGTAATATTATTTTTTATTTTATAATTGATGCAATTGTTCAATTCAAGAATAAATTAATTTAATGTCAAATAGCTTAAATTATATGAAGATTAAGACATGAAAAAATATGTGATGATACAAAAGGACAATACACGAGATAATTATACAAAAGGAAAAAAAATAATGTGGTTAGTTATAAAATTAGTAAAATTCTCTTAAACTTTATACATTGAATTAATTTGACTTTTTTTTAAGAAAAAGCTATCTTTAAACCTTTATCAATTGTACTAATTTGATCTTTATCTAAAAAATCCAAAGAAATTATTAAAAATGATTTTTTAAAAAAAAAATCTAAAATTTAAAACTATAAAAATTATTTTTTAAACTATTAAAATATATAAAAGTTTTTGGAATAAAAATATAATTCCCTTTTTTAATTATTTTTTCATTTCATCTGCTATTTTTTTAATAGCGTGATGAGTGATTAGATTTGCATATATTTTATTAATAATTATTTCTCTTTGTTTATTTAAATATTACTGATTGGATCATTGGGTTCTACCACATCGGACCACATCCTACCTCAGGTTCTATTTCGCTTATTTTTGTGCAATAACTTATTTTCCATAACCGTCAATTAAGAGAGCGAATTATGCAATTTTTTTATTTTTGGAATCGTGATTGGAGGCATGAGCATGACCTGAGGCTTGATGTGGTCTGACGTGGTAGAATCCGACAATCCAATTAGCATCAACAATAGTTTTTAGAAGGTCCAATAAGCATTTTTTTTGGAAAGAATATGGGCGAAATTATTTTAGGATTTTAAGTTTGATTTTTTAAGATAAATACTTTAGATAAATATTTTCTTTGTTATTAGGATATTTTATTTTATTTTGAACATTTTCTTCTATATTTAAAAAGTCTATCTATTGTAATTCTCTAGGCTCTAAATACCCTTAAGGTGAAGCTTGAAGAGGTATTGAATTTGATTTTTTCTTTAGGTTATTTTTTTACTTTCTTTTCAAAAAAATGTTAAGGATGAATTCAATCATGCTTAGCTAAACTTTTAATTAGCCAAAGGCTTAGCGATGACTCAATTTTGATTGTGAGAATTGAAAAGCACTTAACATCTTCAGATAACATTCTTGATTTTCTAAAATCTTGATTTGGCAATCGGTCTTTTCTTTAAAATTTGTACACTTTGATTTCAAAAAGTTGACATTGGTTTGAATGTTGTTCTAATTTACTATTAGAGGAAGAATCGGTTGGTCGTAATTCGACTTCCTATGAACAAACTTAGCGGTAATTCGCTAAGGTAAATTGAGATTGGGTTCGATTCTCATTGAGATACCATAAACCAAGTCGGGCTTTTCCAGCACTTAAAGTTGTATTGGCGCTAACTAGTGGTGAGCATTCGATCGAGTCAAGTTGAGTAAAAACTTTTCGAGTTGACGAGTCGTATTTTACAACTTGAACTTAACTTGAAATTTTTTCAAGTCGAGTCGAGTTTAAGAAATTCGAGTTGAGTTATTTGAGTCGATTTATTCGAGTTTATGTACTAATTTTATTATAATTATTTATAGTTGTTGGTAGAGCACAAGTTTCTTAACCTTGAGGTCATGGGATCGAGTCTCACGGAGGGCATTTCATAATTCGGAGGTCTTCTATGAAAGATGCTCTCAACCTGGTGTTGGGGGCAGCCTACTATCTTACCTCCCCCTTACCCCATTAGCCCATTACATATGGGAACAATGGACAACCATTTATAGTTGTTGGGATTTTCAGAAGCTCGAATCGATAATTGGAACAGTTTGCAAAGAGGGGTCGGAACGATTTTGTGTTTAGGGAGTTAGGAGATTGAAAGATAGAGAATTGCACAACGATTTATAGTGGTTCGACTTTCTCAACCAAAGTCTACGTCCACTACCTCAGCTCATCACCAAGGATTTTCCAACAAATTCACTAATTTGTTCTTTCTTTTGAGGATAAAGAGTAACCTTACAAACTCCCTAGTTTTTCCGGGCTAAACTAGAACATTTCCCTAGCTTTTTACACGGGCTAAGCTAGAACCTTTCCCCTTTACAAAAGTATAAAAGATGTAAACAAGAAAACCTCTCTAAGGTAGGTGTTTACAAGATTGAGCTCACAAGAACAAAATATTTACAAGAGAAAGATGAAATAAGATTGAAAAACTCTTCTCTTGTGTTTGATTGCTTGGATAGTTGTTCTCTTTCATCTTCAAGTGTCCTTAGCTTGTATTTATAGCTTGGAATGTGTTTGAAGTCGTATATAGCTGTTGGGGATGTTTTGGAGCCGTTTGGAGATGAGAATCAATTAATAAAACAGCTTGGAGCGTGGGGGAAATCGGTACCCCTCATAGGGAATCGGTTCCCTAAGTGTAAAATTCAAATAGTTCGACCGTTGACCAGGGGGGAATCGGTTCCCTCCGAGCATTATGTTTTTCTCGGAGCCAAACCATTCAGGGGGGAATCGGTACCCCCTTGGGGGGGAATTGGTTCCCTCTGGACAATCTGGAATTTTTGGTTTTGAAATGGTTCGAAATACTTTGTAAAATTATTTTGAAATTATTTTAAGATTAAAACTTAATTTTACACTTGAGTAAGGATTAAAAATGACATTTGAAAGATTTTGAGTAATATTTTGATATTCGAATAATTATATCGAATATACTTAGAAAATCTTTTGAAAATCTTAAAATTCATTTATCTTAATTTGTATATCGAAATATCAAAATATTTTCAACAATCTCCCCCTTTTTGATATAAAAATTTGAGTATTTTAAGATTTGAAATCAAGTTTGAAATTACTCCCCTTACTTTAACACTTCTCCCCTTTAACACCTTAACACTTCTCCCCCTTTTTGTTAAATCAAAAAGACTCTAATCTTTAAAGTTCAAAATACCTCTAGACAATCTGAAATTTTTGGCTTTGAAACGGTTCGAAATACTTTGTAAAATTAATTTGAAATTATTTAAGATTAAAAACTTAATTTTACTCGAGTAAGGATTAAAAATGACATTTGAAAGATTTGGAGTAATATTTGATATTCGAATAATTATCGAATATATTAGAAAATCTTTTGGAAAATCTTAAAATTCATTATCTTAATTTGTTATATCGAAATATCAAATGTTTTCAACAATAGTATTTAAGATTAAAACTTAATTTTACACTCGAGTAAGGATTAAAAATGACATTTGAAAGATTTGGAGTAATATTTTGATATTCGAATAATTATATCGAATATACTTAGAAAATCTTTTGGAAAATCTTAAAATTCATTTATCTTAATTTGTTATATCGAAATATCAAAATGTTTTCAACAATAGTATTATGGCAATGATTTGTTCCTATTTTGTTACTTTATCTAACCATAATATATATATATATATATATATATATATATATATATTATTCTTTCATATTATAATATTATTTAATATATCAAATACAATCTAAAATTATGAAATATATTCATAATATTATATTTTAAAGAAAGTATTTTGAGCGTAAAATATTGATGAGAGTATAAATGTGTAAAGCAATTGATGAGAAGAAAGAATTTGCAAACAATTGTAGTCAAAAGACCAAATTGAGTAAAATACAAAGTTTAGGGACAAAATAAAAAAGATAGTATATCTTTAGTTAAAAAAAATAACTATTAAAGTTACATAGGTATTATATTGTAGTATATGAGCATGTGGTTCAAATTTGGTAAAACAAACTGACTTAAAATAAATCACAATTTGAAGGAATAAGGAGATTATGAAAAATTGAATGACTAAATTGAAAAGTAAAAAAATTGTTATAAAAAAGAGTGTTGAGTTAATCGATCTATGAATATGGCCAAGAGGAGGGTGAATTGGCAAATAAAAATTCCGGTGGAAGCTTGTGCAGAAAATTGAAAGTAATTACGCACCGATTTAGAGTGGTTCAACTTTCTCAACCAAAGTCTACGTCCACTACCTTAGCTATCCACACTAAGGATTTTCCAAAAATTCATTAATTTGTCTTTCTTTTGAGGACAAAGAGTAACCTTACAAATCCCTCAAGAATTATACCCCAAATTCTTGAGAACACTCTCTCCCAAAGAGAACAATACAAATTTTGCAAACTTACAAGAAAATCCTCACAAGGCAAGATGTTTGCAAAATTCTAGAACAAAGAAAGAACACTCAAGAGTAATACAATTGAGCACAATAAGTGTTCTTGAAAGCAAAAATGAATATTGAATGAAATAGGCTTGAAAATGCTCAAACTTGAGGTTTGATGCTTTTTCTTTGATTATCTCTTGATTCTTGTTGATACTTTTTTCTTGTTGTTGATTAATGGCTTCTAAGCTTGTTTAAATACACCTTCAAATGATTCTGAACGTTGGGGATGATTAGTGGAGTTAATAGAGCCGTTTTAGTGTGAAATCAATTAATAAAACAACTTGGAGCATGGGGTGAATCGGTACCCCCTCATGGGGAATCGGTTCCCTAAGTGTAAAATTCAAATATTTCGACCGTTAAACAGGGGGAATCGGTACCCCCTTGGGGGGGGAATCGGTTCCCTCTGGACATTCTGGAATTTTTGGCTTTGAAACGGTTCGAAATAATTTGTAAAATTACTTTTGAAAGATTTGGAGTAATATTTTGATATTCGAATAATTATATCGAATATACTTAGAAAATCTTTTTGGAAAATCTTAAAATTCATTTATCTTAATTTGTTATATCGAAATATCAAAATGTTTTCAACAATCTCCCCCTTTTTGATATAACAAAACATTTTAGTAATTTTAAGATTTTGAAATCAAGTTTTG